TAATTACACAATAATCTAGCATTTAAAAATTCAAGTATACGTTTAAAGATCCATATACCTGACTCTAACTTGTTTGGAATTAATGCAGCTGTTAGAGATGGTATATTATCGAAATATGACTACGGGAGCGACTACAATCTGGCACATTATGGTGAAGCAAAACCTCCCAAATATAATTTAACCAACATTCCTCGCGATTTTCCATTATTTCTCAGTTATGGAGGCCAAGATGCACTCTCTGATGGCAAAGATGTTGAGACATTGCTCGACGCTCTAAAGCTCCATGATGTAAACAAGTTGACAGTTCAGTATATCAAGAATTATGCTCACGCTGACTTTATCATGGGAATTACTGCCAAGGATCTTGTTTATAACCAGATTGTTTCCTTTTTTAGAAACCATGGCTAATCACCCCGAGGAGGAGAATAAGAGCAAGGAAAAGGAATTCATCATGATTTTTTAAAATTTATATGTAAGAGGCTTCAACTTCAGCTTTTAAGTGTTAACAGATGATAAGAGCGAGATTTTCAATCTCATTCACCAATAAGTCGACCGCTATATACACATGAATGTTAGGGACAAACATTACCAGACTAATTAATTTCTTTGTAATGATTTGTCATATTTATACTTAAAAGGAAACAAAAAGGCCAAATTTGCCATTAAGTTATGCGAAAATAGTTAACATTTGTCTTTCTTAATAGTTTGATATCCTTGCCTTCACAAAAATGATTTAGTGTTGCGCTTATTTGCAAATGATTGATGTTGAGGCTCAAATATGCGACTGTACTCAATGATAATATATGCCACTCGTAAAAGGGGTGAGAGGAAAGGGGGTTGGTAAGTAATACAGGGTTTAGATAATGTCACGTGACAAAATCTAGTACTCCCTCTGTATCAACTTAGATGATACACTTTCCTTATTAGTGCATTCCAAAAAGAATGATATATTTCTACAATTGGAAATAATTTAACTTTAAACTCTTCATTTTACCCTTTTTACACTTAATGAGAAGCTTTTATAACAATACAAATGTCTAGGTCCCACAAACTTTTACCCTTAATTAAGCTTTTAAGACTACAAGTTTCAAAAGTTTGTTTTTTTTTCTTAAGCTTCGTGTCGAGTCAAACTACCACATCTAAATTAAAACGAAAGAAAGTAGTACTTAGACAAGGCAGGGTTCCATTTAGAGGTGCTTACCGGCTGGACTGAACATGGGAAAAATAGCCCGTCCGGTTAGTGGAGCGGGCTGATTAGTGGGATGGGGTTCCGGGCTGGTAGCTAGTGGGCTAAGATATTCCCGGCTATCTTGGGCCTGTCCAAATTCGGGCTTCGGGTTCGGATCGGGCCGGGTTAATTATATTTTTTTAGTGTATTATATTTCTTTGTTCAATGTAATTGATACTCAAGTGTTTGCGAACTTTTAAATAATAAAATAAGTATTTTAAGGCACAAAATTAAACTTTTAAACTTTCAACTTTAAAATTTTAATTTGAATTTTGAATTTTAAAATTTGAAAATTGAAATTAAGTGGCTACATAAAATTATTTAATAAGACCAATATGTAAGAATCAAATTTCAAAAACTTTTATTTCATATTTTCATTACATAATAATATTTCAAATTAATTTGCAAGTTCTATTTTAATTTTTTTTTACTTTGAACTTGCAAATTAAAAGTTACAACAATTATAAAAAATAAGAAAGAGTACATCACATGCTTTGTATCATTTTTGTAAGTTCATCCATGTCAATGTGAGGTTCTTGGTTTTCAGCATTGCTTGAATCGGAACCATAAACTACTATATCTCCAATTTCTTGGTCCTTCGGTTCATCTACCTCTTCATGTCCTTGATTTTGCCGTTCTGATTTTATCCAATCTCCGAAGCACACTAGAATTTTCAAAGCATTGCTACTCAATGAATAACGGGTATCTCCTAGCTGCTGCCTTGCTTGGCTAAATGCGCTCTCTGATGCAACTGTTAAAATTGGCACATTTATCACGTCTCGAGCCATGACCGAAAAATAGGAAATTGATTTGAGTTGGTCCTCCACCAAGCCAGCGGTAGAAATTCCTTTGTGTGGGACTCTGTTTTCTTTTGCAAGTAGAATTGGAGTTCATCAATATTCTTGCTATTGGTTTGTTGATGCTCTCCTAGTGTAGACCAAATTAAATTATCTTCAATACCATCATTATCCTCCATAGCACCAGATGCAAATGTAAAAACTGAACTTGAAGGAATATTTTCATTTGCATCTACAGCAGAAGAAACATCAACAGTGTTAGCATAATAATTATATAAAGCTTGTAAATGTTTGTGTGGATCAAAAATGCAAGTTTCAATATCAGGGGTTTCAGTTGGTCCAATATCCATACAAACATATAAAGCATTGGCGACAAGTAGTCATTTTGATAGAAGAGTTTAAAATAGCACCAATTAGATAAATAGGGGAAATAAGATAGAAATATTTCTTAAATTTATATAGCATAGATTCAACAACAGAACTATATCCTTATTTCTTCTTGAAATTATGGAGTACAAGAGAAATTTTAGCTATATGATCTAAACCATTTGCAATAGTAGGATAATAAGCTCCAGAAAACTCAACATCTTCAATGACATCCCAAGTACTAGCTGTTAACAAACGGTTAGGATCGATACAATGAGAGTTAGCAACTTTAGGTATAGGCATTCTATATTTATAACAACATCTTAAGAATAAATAAGTATAATTCCACCTAGTAACTATTTCTTAAGGCATGAGTCTTAGTTTTAGTCCATAATGTACACATTTATCCTTAAATGCATTTAATCTAGCACTTCTATTATTTTCTTGAATTACACCAACAACTCTTCTAACCAAAGTGATCTCATTTGTAAATAATTCAAGGCCACTTTTAACAATTAAATTATAAATATGACATGCACACACCTCACATGAAATATTTCAGGAATTGGTGGGTGTAGATGCAGTTTTAATAGTGAAATAACAGCATTGTTATTAGAAGCATTATCAAATGACATACACAAAACTTTTTTTTCAAGATTGTATATAGCAACTTCATGGATAGTATGACTTATAAATACATCAGTATGACTTTGATCTTCATAATATTTAAAAGCAATAATACGTTTTTGCATACAAAAATTATCATCTATCTAATGGCATGTAACAATCAAATAATCATTTTCAATAACAGCACGACCAATATCAGAAGTAAGAGAAACTCTACAAGGAAGGCTAGCGAACAAATAACGGATATATGTATGATATTGTCCAAAAGCCTAAAAATATCAGATCTACAAGTACTTCTAGGAATACCTTTAAATAAATGGTTACAAATTCTTTGAATATACGTAACAAAATATGGTAAAGCAGCAAAGCTAAAAGGTAAACAACCTAAAACAATCATTTTAGCTAATTTTTCTCAATCTTTTAATATATCGTATTTACCTATTAAACCACCAGTACCCGGGTTAAGTTTTTGTTGGCCAGATTGTTCATCAGCACCTCATTTAATAGGGTGATTATCTACCATGTGCCTACGAAGTTGACTCGTCCCCTCTTGCTTACCTCCGGTCTCATGTTTATAAACTTCCCGACAAATAGTATTACATAATTTTTATCTTTTTCTAGACTTTCAAAAAATTGCACACACTTACTTCTTAATCGTCGATTCTTTTTAATACGGAGAGGAGGCTTACCTATATTACTGACACTCTTAATATTTTGACTAGCAGTACCAGGTGTGGGTGGTGGTATTTCAAGATTATCAGGTGACTCAATATCATCAAAATTATCATATATACCATAATCTTCTTGAAATTTCTCGTAGTCTATATTTAAATTTTCAGGTGAACTTTCAGAAATATGTGTAAAGCTACTAGAAGAACCAGCACCACCTCGTGATCTTTTACTATATTTACTCTTACCAGTATCACCCCTACTAGTACACGCTTTTTTGGCTGCTCTAAATATATCCATTTTGTAAATTAAATCAATAAAACTAAGTTAATAATTCTAAATAATAAAATAAAAATAAACACCAAAGAAGAAAAATAGATGGAAAGACCGGGAGTCCGGATGCCGCACTACATTTGATATCACGCTTCAATTGATATTTGATGATACCACACTTCACTTATAATTTTGTAGTTGCTACCATAAAAATTTGATAAAACTTGAAATAACAATTAATTGAGAACTTGAGAGCAATTAGCAATTCAATAATCAAGAGGGAATTGCGAGAGAATTAGAGTAGAAAAAGAGAGCGAGTTGTGAGAAAAAATGAAGAAGGGGAGAGGAGGGGAGCTATTTATAGTTTTTAAAAGGCTAAAAATGTAATTTATCAATTATTAAGAGTGGGGGCTATTTTATTAAAGGGGTAGGCCGAAATGGCTAAATCTGCAAAAAATGGTTATTACCCAACGGTCATTTTTGAATTTGAACCGTTGGCAACGATCAAAAAAAAAATTCCAACGGATACCGGGCCGGAACCCGGTAAAAACCCGTAAACGGGTTACCGAGCTAACTAGGTTCCGATGCACCAGTAGCCAAAAATAGCCCGACCCCGTCAGGTACAACCCCCTATCCTAGCCAACCCGTCCCACTCCTTACAGGATCGGGCTGACCCGGGCTAAACCGAGTTGAACCAGGTCGTTAATAGGTTAGCCCGACTCGTTTAACACCCTTAGTTTCATTAGTGAATACCGGCAGATATGTCCCAAAATAGTAATAAACGGGGGCATATTCAAGACCAACTATTAACGAGTGACTAATATGAGCCATTTCCTCAAGTTTAGTAGCATATTCGAGCATTTTCCCAATTTATTTTCAAGTTTGAGACATATAACTCTCAATGGTCAATTTACTTTTAAGAAAACAACATAACACAAAACGGTTCGGATTCAAATAATTCGACTTGGATCCACCCACCCAGAGATGAGCACGGGCAATCGGGCATGGCTGAGATATTAGTATGTCGGCGTCGGGTATAGATACTGCTCTTCATTATTTTATCCATTCCCGCCACCCGCAGCTGAGAGTGTAACGAACACTTTCAGAAATTAACGGTTCCAATTTCCAATGGCGCTGAGCTTCTTCTTCTCTCCGGCAGTTCCAATCCATCGCATTATTAGCTGTCAAGCTACGACCAATCAGCTGTGCGCAGAACGCATCGCTGCCCCATCATCATCAGCTCTCTCTATAAACCCTAATAATCCTATCCCTTCTCCTCCATCTTCCTTATCTTGCGCCCTCAATTGCACTCATTTCCAGTCGTACGTACCTTTTTCTTTCCTGTAGTTCCATTATTCTTAGCTCCACAAGCTCATTACTATTCATTATTGACTATCCCTCTTAATATCTGTATTCAGCTCAGTAATTTTTAAACCTTTTTATTATATAGCATAAGACATCTTTACTTTCCGTTAAACTTTTGGTCTAATATTACTCCTGTCATTAGGAAAAAGTCTTGTTTATCCCTTGAGCTCTAGCCAATTACTTGAGTGTAACTTTAAACCATAGTTAAAATTTGAGGGATAAAATTGTATCGTTTTTATGAGACGATTTGCTAATAGCAAGGGTATAAAAGGATCAAAAGTGTAATGGAGCGCAAAATTGAGCAATTTTGGATAGTATATGTGCAAAAAATTAGACCTTTTTCCGATAGTATATAGTTCGAGTGGAAGATAGTCTGTGGATGTTGGTACACTGAATCCACCTCTGATTGTAGTATAATATTGTGTATAGTGGGTGGATGTTGGTATACTTCATCCACCTCTGATTGTAGTATATATTGTGTTTAACTGCCTCAATTTTAATGTGGTTTTACAGGTGTTCTGGTTGCACTCAAGAGTTTGATCTTCACCGTCCAGTAGTTATTGATGAAGCTATAGGTTACTTCAAGAAGCTCGGCGTGAAAGATTTTTCATTTGATAGTTGTAGATTAGTATGTGATTGATGTAAATCTTATTGTGCCTTAAATTGATTTGTTGTATTTTTGGTGGAGTTATTTTATGGCATGAAGTATGAGCTTAGATTAACTGTCCTTTGGATGCAGTGGGGATGGAGATGTCGTGCAAAGCTTGCTATTCGCGGTTCATCAAGCAAGCCCCTGATTGGGCTTTATGAGGAGGGCACTCATAATGTAGTTGATATCCCGGACTGTAAAGGTCTGCTATTTGGGTATTCACATATCTGATTTTTGTGGTACACTTGTCTATGCATAGACAATAGAATTATCTAAGTGCAATTATGTGACACTGTTTCAGCTCATCATCCGAACATCAATGCTGCTGTGGAGCTCCTGAAGCGAGGCTTGTTCCTAATCCTGCATCCTATCTTTTTCCCCCAAATTTATGTAGTAATTTGTTTGTCATTCTCTTTCGAAGTGTATTAAATCGTGTGAACCTACCTATTTAAACAACAGCTGCCGTAATTATTTGTCTATTCTTTGTTCTCATTTGGATTTTCTTTTTCTCTCTCTGTTGGCATCGTCTGGGTCCCTCCAGGGATAATTGAGTTGAATGTTGAACCATATGATGAAGATCAAGGCACTGGTGACCTGAGGTATGTTCAGGTGAGTAATACATATAAGTTTGCAGAGGAAAGAATTAGGTCGATGAGATAGTTTGATTGAGAATTTTGCTGTTCTTTATCTGAGATGCAACTCATTATTGTGCAGATGGCCGTCACAACGCATGATACATCCCTTCCTATCCCGGAGAGATATAAGAATGGTTTGTACATGTCATAGTGAATAAGAGGCTTGGGATGATCTTTGATGGAGTTGATAAAAATTGTCTTATTTCAGGTAAAGTGCAGGTCTCTTTGGTTTGGAATTCAAGAAGCGAGAATTCAGCTAGCGCTGGAAAATTAAATGCTTTAGCCAATGTAAGACAGTGATGTTAGCAATACTAGACTTCTTCATCAATGAATTGCATTAATTTTACACAAATTCTCACTTGCTAATGTAGTTCCTCTGGGCAAATGGTGGGCCAAAGAGAAAAGTTCATTTAATTCATTCAGTTTGGGCTAATTTCCAGACATCATCAAATAATGTGAGCAAGTCTCTCTTTGTCTCTTTCTCCACCCCATGGATATGCACACATATGAATAGATGTTCAGTATATATGTGATTGGAAAATGTTGCTCATAATTTGGCCACTACTGTGATATCTTTAATAAGAGTGCAGCAGTTAGTTGATATCTTCGTTCTGGTATGCAGATTATCTTTGGAAACAGATGGAGACATTTGTTAGGGGAAAGAGATTTCTGGGAGCACATTGGAGGGATTGATGTCTCTTTAGCTCCATCAAGCTTTGGGCAAGCAAATACACGGGTAGAGCTCTTAAAAAAGGATTCTTTTTTTCTTTTTTAAGGGAAAGAGCAATCATGTTTATTACCGTTTTCTTGAGCTCCGCTCTGAGTAGCACAGATGAGACATAGAACACACTTCACAGATAAAGCACAATAGTGGATTTCTCCTGCCAGAGTTTGCTATGAATGAGTTTCTTAGTTCTCCAGTAAATTTAGACACGGCAGGATAAGTGCCAATAAATCCGTATCACACATCACTTATCAGGAAAAAATGAATAGAATCCTTATTCTTTACATTGGACATGTCTTCTTTTGGGTAGATAACTTTGTTTGATTCTTTCCCCCACTTTCTTCCATTTCTGGTTTGTCTTGGGCCAATCCACAATTTCTGACCATGTAATGGCATGTTTTTGATGATTATTTTCCTACTTTAGCTTACACTAAACCTACTTAAGGATGAACTAAACTTGGTTTGAGCCACAGTCCATGCATTTTGCTTCTAGGGGCATATTTCTGATTATCATTTTTTCTTAATTTGGTAACCCAACCACACAACCTTGACCGATTTTTCCATTACGATACATTTTTCTCTCGATTTTACTTAATCATTTGTCCTTCTTCAGGCTTTTGACTCTTTGCTGCGGAAGTTACAGAAATATGTCCCACTCGGTGCATCAGTTGTTGATCTCTATGCAGGAGCTGGTGTAATTGGGTTATCTTTGGCTTTTTCAAGGAAATGTCGGTCAGAATAACAGTCCTCTACCCCTTTTTTTGACCTACTGTCTGTTTTAGTCACTCCCAAAAAGATTAATCTCTCTGGAAATGGAAAAATCTATTGGATTCAAAAATTGAAGCTTAACATTTGATAAAATCACTTCGCGTTATTTTGAATTATTTTTCCAGCGTATTATTTTGAATTTGATGTGACATTTTATAACACCCCCCCCCCCCCTT